GTTGTACAAAAAAGCAATTTTTCCCTTATATGAGATGTCAGATTTTGAAAGCTAAATTCTTTAATATTTATTGGCTGAACTTGAAGTTCAGTAACAATGTTCAGGCGAGATTGGCAAAGAATACAACAGAATATTAGACCAGCAGTTCATTTTAATCAGGTCAAAACATTTGAAACCAATTGTCCAAAATAGCAATTTTTTCCTTATATCAGATTAAAAACCAATGCGGCTTGGTTTGTTGTAATGATTGTACTCATTCCAATTACAAGACTACAAAAAGCCCTGTATTAGTGCGGGTTGACTGGGCACTTTGTCGAACATGTTCGGGAGACATCGAGTTTTTCCCCTCTTAGTGCGGGTTGACTGGGCACTTTGTCGAACATGTTTGGGAGACCTCGAGTTGTCCCCCTCTTAGTGCGGGTTGACTGGGCACTTTGTCGAACATGTTCGGGAGACATCGAGTTGTTCCCCTCTTAGTGCGGGTTGACTGGGCACTTTGTCGAACATGTTCCGGAGACATCGAGTTCTTCCCCTCTTAGTGCGGGTTGACTTGGCACTTTGACTTGGCATGTTTGGAAGACCTCGATTCCTTCGCCTCTTGGTAGCGATCTAAATCGCCACTTTTTTTAACATGTTCAAGAGAACTCGTTTTCCTCTCATCTTAGTACGGTTCGAAAGTGCGACTTTTCCGAACATGTTCGAGAGACCTATAGTTGTTTGCCTCTTCTGCCGGTTATGTTCGAGAGACATCGATATGCTCCCCCTTCTCCTGAACATGTTCGGGAGACCTCGAGTTGTTGGCTTTTTTGCGGATATGTTCGACTGCTCCGAGGATGTGTGAGTGTCGGAAAAAAAAGAAACAAATCGTAGAACAAGGGCTTAATCTCAGCAGATCGTAGCAACAAGGCTACTCTACTGCTTACAATACCCCGTTCTTATATTTAAGTCATCTGCAAATGATTTAGCTCTGGAAAATTTAGATTTTGATCGTTGCAGTGCTTTGGAGCATTGTCCGCTCCGTGGGCACGTTGTGACGCAGGAGGCGCGAATGATCGCGTCTCTATTCGTGTTCGCTTAAGTTGTCCAGAGAAAAGGAATCGTCGCGTTCTAGCACGGATTCTCATTTAGAGGCGTTCAATCATAATCCAACAGATGGTAGCTTCGCACCATTGTCTTTTCAGGCAAGTGCATGAGCTATTTGTCTGAATCTGCGGTTCCTCTCGTACTGAGCAGAATTACTATTGCAACAACCATTCAACAGTAGGGTAAAACTAACCTGTCTCACGACGGTCTAAACCCAGCTCACGTTCCCTATTGGCGGTGAACAATCCGACGCTTGGTGAATTCTGCTTCGCAATGATAGGAAGAGCCGACATCGAAGAATCAAAAAGCAACGTCGCTATGAACGCTTGGCTGCCACAAGCCAGTTATCCCTGTGGTAACTTTTCTGACACCCCTAGCTTAAAACTCGTGAAGACTAAGGGATCGACAGGCCATGCTTTCACAGTTTGTATTCATACTGAAAATCAAAATCAAGTGAGCTTTTGCCCTTTTGCTCTACATGAGATTTCCGTTCTCATTGAGCTCACCTTAGGACACCTGCGTTATCATTTGACAGTCGTGCCGCCCCAGCCAAACTCCCAACCTGACAGTGTCTTCGGCTCGGATCGACCGGCAGAAGAGCGATCTTAATGCTAAAAAGTGGACGTTGAGGTCCAGCTCCGCTTCACCGAATAAGTAAAAAAATGATAAGAGTAGTGGTATTTCACCGGCTGATTGCTCCTTCCACTTATTCTACACCTCTCATGTTTTTTCACAGAGTCAGATTAGAGTCAAGCTCAACAGGGTCTTTTTTCCCCGCTGTTGCTGCCAAGCCCGTTCCCTTAACTGTGGTTTCGCTAGATAATAAATAGTGACAGTGGGAATCTCATTAATGCGCGTCACTAATTAGATGACGAGGCATTTGGCTATTAAATACATTTAATAAATTCTTCAATAGATAAATGTACATTTGGGCATGAGATTGCAGCCCTCACAATTAAATAATTATACACAATATAAAAAAATATATATATATGCAGCTGTAGAATTGTTTATATGATTTCTATTCACAAATATTATAAGTAGAGTTTAGCGTTAAATAAGTGTCTCAATATATGTATTCTTTCAGTCCGATTTGTCTCCAGTTCATTCCTCCAAACTCAAAGCCTCATCCCAATTTGTTGTCTCCGATCTGTAAGTTCCTTTCTTGAAGTCCAGCCAAATTTTATAGCCCTTCTCCATCACTATAACACTAAGTATCTCTATTTCAAACATATTAAACCCAAACTTATCAGATAAAAGGTTGTAAGACGGTTTAGCGATGGCACCCCTCCAATTAAAACTAATCGAGGAGAAGTTTACCTCCGCTGCTCCGCTCACTCCCTGCACCCAGTTGCGGACATGCTCATTATTATAGTAGCTAACTTTCCTCGAGTGCACATCCTCCAGGTCCGCGTTATCGGCTGACACAGTGACATCGACCACAAAGCAAGTGCCATTGCAATTCCAGACCAGCAGGTCAGGACGTCTTATGCCAGCAGGTGTTGGAATAGGAAAGTCATAGTTACTCCCGCCGTTTACCCGCGCTTGGATGAATTACTTCACTTTGACATTCAGAGCACAGGGCAGAAATCACATTGCGTCAACACCAGTCACCAGCCATCGCAATGCTTTGTTTTAATTAAACAGTCGGATTCCCCTTGTCCGTTCCAGTTCTCAGTTGTTTGTTAATCGCCTGCTGAATCGACCTGACGGTCACAGCTGAGTCAATCCACCCGAAGTCCCTTCGCAGTCCGACTTCGACGCCCAGCAAGCCACGCATCTCCGTCAGCCCACGCCGAGTCCTCGCGCTTCAAGTCCTAGCCAGACAGACCCAACCCTTAGAGCCAATCCTTTTCCCGAAGTTAAGAAACTATTTTGCCGACTTCACTTACCTACATTGTTCTATCAACTAGAGGCTGCTCACCTTGGAGACCTGCTGCGGTTGTGAGTACGACCAGACAAGAAAATAAACGACTGCTCGGATTTTCAAGGTGGTCGACTTATGCGAAATGGCGACGTTTCTGAAGTTAGCTTGCACAGATTATGATCAAAGAGAATGTTTAGAGAAGTAGTCAAATTTTGGCGGCTTGGTGCAAGGTGGTCAAAATCGGTCTTCAAGGAGGATGTTGCAGCGACTGGTGCTCCGGTTATAATTTTTACTATATATGAGGGGCAGGTGCTCCGCGAATGAGTGCGAGTGTGAAGCAAAACTCGCTCGTCGTGGTGGGATAGGCGGCTGCTCTCGATCGGTTGCTGCCTTTCCTCCGGCCTTCGGGCGAATAGGTGCTGCGTTCTCTGAAGTTTTGCTTCGAAGAGGCGCGAATGTTGTGCACAATGTCCTTTGGACAAGGTGAACACACAAAGTGAAAGCGCGAGTTCTGCCGTTCCATTTCAAGTTCAGCAAATCAATGTTAAAGAATTTAGCTTTCAAAATCTGACATCTCATATAAGGGAAAAATTGCTATTTTAGACAATGGTTTTCAAATTTTTTGAACTGAATGAAATGAACTGCTGGTCTAATATTCTTTTGTATCCTTTGCCAATCTCTTCTGCACATTCTTACTGAATTTCAAGTTCAGCAAATAAATATTAAAGAATTTAGCTTTCAAAATCTGAAATCTCATATAAAAGAAAAATTGCTTATTTGGACAACTGGTTTCAAATTTTTTGACCTGAATGAAATGAACTCCTGGTCTAATTTTCTGACGGTCTAAAGTACCAAGAGATTTAGTGTTCTCATTAAAGAAAGCATGAAAGACAAGACAAGATAGCATGATGGGCTACGTGCGTGAAAGCGCAAGACTTTTTCGAACATTTATATCTTTGGAGTCGTCCAAAGTGCTGAAATATGTGATGATAGCATGCCTTAACGCATTCGTGCTTGCTCGAATGGAAACCTCGCGCATGAAAATATCGCCAATGTACCTTGCAATTGAACTGCTGCTATCAAAAGGCGCTCCTTGCTTGTTGAGAAAGAAGAAATCTTGCGACTTGCCGAGCAGTAAAGATGGCCTTGCCTTAGTATATAATTGCAAATTCTACCTCCTTGTCATAACCTGTCACAAGGGGTCACATGGAGATCACGTGAGATAGCCAACCTTCAGTTCGTGAGACCTTCCGCAGTCGAACGGTGCAAACAATTTTGCCTTACCTACAAATAATTTTTTGGGGAAAACGACGTTTTTTCCGTATTTAGATTGTTACGAAATACATTATCTGCCGAAATACCTTATCTAAGGGCGCAGATATAACGAAATATCCAGGAAAGGGGAGAAATCTCTTAAGGATATCAGTAGTGGTCCCATGAATATGGATGAACCACAACAAGAAGTCCAAGACATATTAAGCGAAAACGAGGAGTCTAGGCTACTAGACGATGAAGACTCGAGAGAGATTTCTAATGCCACTTTAAAGGGTATACGAGGCATGGAAAATTCCATGACGAACTCGTTACAAAGCCTTGCAAAAACGTTACAATACAGCCTTGCTTCGTTACAAAGCAATTTGGCGCCAACGCGGCCTCGAAAACGACAAGCAAGTCCTTCGTCCTCAGACGACGATAGCTCGTCTGAAAGCTCCGAAAAACAGGCCCTAGAGCCAAAGAAGAGTCGTGAAAATCCGGCTGATGAACTTGATAACGCGGTCAATGCGCTTTTGAATAAGTCAACCGATTAATCGGTAGTCGCCGAAAAGACGGCGGCTGGTGGCGACGCCATTTTGACAGGCATTGCCAACGATTTTGACCTGGTCGATCAGTGTGGTGAAGACATCCCCACACAGCTTGCTGAACTTGTAGAAAAAAGAAATAGAAGTAGAAATATCTTCGGCCAAAAAATTGTGGCAAAATTATCCCTACAAGAGTAAACGCAGCAATCTGGTCACGGTTGCAAAGCAAGACACGATCTCGCGATATAAAGATGCAGAAAGCTCAAATGCTATTGCTTAAAGCTCTAATTGCTCAAACTCGAGTGACTGAGAGTCTTCTTAATCTAAAGGATTCGACTCCCCTAGCATCTAAAGCGCGCAGCGACACAGCTGATGCAGCTGTTATTCAGTCCATGGATGCCATTGCATTCGTAGTCCGAGCCAATCATGAGCTAAATCAACGGCGCCGGGAATTAATCAGGCCTGACCTAAATGAACAGTACCGGAAATTGTGTGCAGAACATGTCCCATGCACCACAGAATTATTTGGTGATGACTTACCTAAAACAGTACAAGATATATCAACTACAAACAGGGTTGGTGCGAAATTATGGTCCTAAATCATATAAAGGATCATCACATTCTCGGGACTATTCATACCAACACTCAAAAAACGAGCGTGGGAAGTATCGCCCCCAGAGCTTCCAGAGGAAAAGAAGAGGGGCGAAGAACCAATCACGGGCGCACTGAAAGAGACATGGCATTGTACAAATCAGGTGAGTACATGTCCTAACACTGTAGTAGTGTGTGACAATATTGCAGGTCGCCTGGCAAAGTATATTAATGCCTGGTGTAAAATCACCAGTGATAGATGGCTACTTAATGCCATACAAGGGGTAAACATTGAGTTTTCCGCTAATCCAGAAAAACTTTTTGCCCCAAGACAGTTTGCATGAGATATAGCTATTCTCGCATATAGAGTCGATTTCCGAATATTGCGGCATTATTGTTTTATACATCATGCTGTTTGTTGCATACTAGAGTTGCAAAGCAACGAGGGCAAGGTTTGATCCTCTCCCTCTGATGATGAAGCTATTGACTTTGAAATCCAACGCTTATGAAGAAAGGGCGTCATTGTCCTTTCGCTTCATGAACCAGAAGAGTTCCTTTCAACTATTTTTGTTAGGCCCAAAAAGGATAGCACTTTCAGGTTAATTTTAAACCTCAAAAAACTAAATGAGTTTGTAACTTACCACCATTTCAAAATGGAATCAGTGCATACAGCACTACAGCTAATGAAGAAAAATTGCTTTATGGCATCTATCGATCTTCGGGATTCTTACTATTCAGTTCCTATTTCTGCTCAGCATCAGAAATATCTTAAAGTTTAACTGGAAAGGTTATATTTACCAATTTACTTGCTTGCCAAATGGGCTGGCGTGTGCCACCCGCATTTTTTCGAATCTCAGGCTGGCAGACGTCTGCGTTTCAGGAGCTGTAAGATTCGACAACGAATTTGGGCCAGGATAAAAATTACATATTCGGAATCTGTGTTATGTAAGCTTTCTATGGATAGCTGTTTTATAAATTTTGAAGCCGTTTTTTGGTGTTTACTTCGCTCGTACTTCAACGCGCATTTAACGTACATCATTATATGCGATTTCGAATCTCAGGCTGGCAGACGTCTGTGTTTCAGGAGCTGTAAGATTCGACAACGAATTTGGGCCAGGATAAAAATTACATATTCGGAATCTGTGTTATGTAAGCTTTCTATGGATAGCTGTTTCATAAATTTTGAAGCCGTTTTTTGGTGTTTACTTCGCTCGTACTTCAATGCGCATTTAACGTACATCATTATATGCGATTTCGAATCTCAGGCTGGCAGACGTCTGCGTTTCAGGAGCTGTAAGATTCGACAACGAATTTGGGCCAGGATAAAAATTACATATTCGGAAGCTGTGTTATGTAAGCTTTCTATCGATAGCAGTTTCATAAATTTTGAAGCCGTTTTTTGGTGAAAAAACCCCCAGCTTTTTTTAAAATTTCTTTGAAGAAGGGGGGGGCTGTATTTGGTACACCACTTGTCTAAGGGGCTGTTTACATGAATCCGGATTGAGTTTCACCCCAGTTCTTAAGAAATGAATGATTGCAGATTCATGTAAACAGTTATTATGATTTCTTGAGAACCAGGGTGGGTTCAATCTGGAATACTGCTCAATCCGGATTCATGTAAACCGCCCAGTGGAATATTGCATTGTGGCTTAATGGTAACTTTCACTAGCCTGAAAAGTAACATTTTCAGGGTAGTGAAAATTTTAACTTTGCTTATAGCTGTGGGGGTAAAATTTAGATAAAGTATACATTCTCCTTTATACCCTTAAAAAATTTGTCATTTTTTGAGTGACAGTTAGGAGTAAAGTTACAGTAATTACTTGATATCCATTTTCTAAGTATATCTAATTTTATCATTTATTAGAGTTTTTTTGACTCCCAAAAATGAATTATTTACTCTCGTAGATTTACTCCTTTTTTGGAGTGAAAATATAGGAGTAAATTATACAATAATTACTCTAATATGTGTATCCCTTTTCAAGAGTACATTTTACTCCTTTATGAGAGTTGAATAAACTCCCATAGTAGCAAAACTGGAGTTAAATTTACTCCCGGAGTAAAAATAAAGGAGTAAAAAGTATTCCAATATTTGTACTCCTTTACCTGGAGTATATTTTATTCCTGCAGTGGAGTAATGTTTACTCCTAGTGGTGTTAATGTTTAAATATGAACTGAAGTGGAGTAGATTTAACTCTGGTTTTCGAGTGAAATACACTCCATTATTTCTACTCCTCAAACGGGAGTTATTTCAACTCCTACGGTGGAGTTAAAATTACTCCCCGAAATTAACAGTGCATGGCATTTAAAAATCCCGCGTTACTCTCGCAAAACGCTAAATTTTACCGCATCCCGCGATTTACTCTTGCTTGCGTGAGCATTATTTAGTTACTGGTCCTAATTCTAAATTACTGTAGGGAGCCACCTTTTAAAAATGTCAAGGACCGTATAGTATATAAATGAACATTAGAACAACTTATGTCTGAGTAATATTATTAAACTTATGTCTTTTAAACAATATCATGATTATCATCCCTTACTATTGAATGATGGTAAATATTGAATGATGATGGTGTATAATATATATGTATTTATCCATTTATGACTAAAGGGGGTGGAATTGTCTATATAATTGTTCCAAATGACTTTGTGACAAAGAGGATGTTTGTTATTGAACTAGTATTGAACTCTTAATGCAAGAGTTTAATGTTGTTGCAAGTATTCGGATCCTGTGGAGACAGCCATGCCCTTATTGTAGGTGTGTTAGAGGTTGCCTTTTGAAAGTGAGATGATAGCAATGTTGCAAGATTTATTATTTATAACAGTTGATGCGATTCTGTGCTAGGAATTGTTATATTACTTGTGGTGAGTGTATAGTTCGTGTGAAGTGAACTCGTGATTATCGGTGAAATCGGTGATGATGAAGTTCACATGTGAGCATGCTGTTTTTTCGTGTGTAGTTGACTGTCTGTGCGAAATAACAAGAGTTTTTTTCCTCGTTTTAATTCGTGTATTTTTTTGCAAACTATTCGCTAAAAATGCGAGGAGGACTACATTTGAATCACGAAGGTAATGCAAAACTTTTTAAAAATTTTGTAGATATTATAGCAACTAGTCAGCATGCTTGAAACAAAATTTCAATGAATGTCGAGCCTAATGAAAATTTCCTAAATGATTCCCTTTTTCTGAATTCGCAACAATCCGAAAACCGTAACGCGGTACTTCGCTCGTATGTCACACGCATTTAAGACCGCAAAATTGCTGCACACAATTCTATTTTAGGGCTAAAAAAGAAAGGTAGGTAGTTGTGGGGAATTTTTTTCTACGTTCTACCGGCTTAAATTCAGTAAAGGTTTGATCATTTGTCTTCGAACTTAATCTCTTATCAATAAAGTCGAGAGGAAATTTCATCCTTACAGATTAAACTCAAACCACGTGCAATAAGGATGCACGCATTGATTTGTCGTGAATAATGAAATTTAATGCTATAGCTTAGTGGGCCCTTAGTTATATATAGCACTGTATATATGCATGTTTTCTTAAACTTATCAGCATGCCTTTAATGACCATGTTGTTAGGAGCCATTAAAAATGAAGTTCAAGATTTCGAGAAACCATATATACTTACTTTTAGTTCAGAGGGCAAATTTCTCTCTTTCTAGACTCTTTCAGGGGGGGGGGTTATTTAAAAGGAGAAGTTCGTGACTTCGTGTAGTTATTGCTGACGCAGCGAGCGAGCCTGAAGCGAGCGAGCAAGTCAGCAATTCTCATTCGTACAGGGCTCTGAAAGTAAGATTTTACTTCCGTTTTTAGAACCAGCATGCATTGCTGTTAACCGACCAGAATGCATCACTGTGCACTGCTGTTAACTGACCAGAATGCTTTGCGTACATGATGCTATAAATACAGGGAATCTGAGTAGTTTAATTAGTTGATTTACTTAGGTTTAAGTAAATCGAAGTAAATTCTACACTTAATATATCCAATTCGACTGATTATTATAGTCGTTCGCTGGCTTTTATAGCACTATATTATAAAGTCAGTTATAACGACTTGTACAACTTTTAATCGTGGCTGTTTGTGCTATACATTTGACATTTCCTACGCATGCGAAATGTTCTTATTTAATTCATGCTGTTAATAAATAAAACTGATAAAATAAGCGGATAACGATGCAATTGCTTTGCCTTTGGTGTATGTTGTATTCATTATATGGCCTACTGATTCCTGCCTGGTCTTACACTATACTGAATTTGCTTAGTACAAACAATTTATAACGCTGACTGAAAAGAGACATTTTTGGGTTGTGTTCCTCACTTTAGGAATTTATTTAGTATTTATCAGTGAAGACTTTTATGGTAATTTGAAGCCTGTATAAATGCGTTTATTTTATACTTAAAAAGCGTTTCAGTTAAATGTCGTTACCAAACCGTTTGGTCGGTCGACTTTTTGTTTGAGTCTGATTTGATGTAAGGCATAGAATAGGCAGTCAAAAGACATGGCATCAAGAGTTCAGGCAATATGTGTACAGTGGACAGAAAAGTATAGCCTTTTAGATTCAAATTAGCGAACAGTGGACAGAAAAGTATAGCCTTTTAAATTCAAATTAGCGAACAGTGGACAGTAAATCATAGCCTTTTAAATTCAAATTAGCGAACAGTGGACAGAAAAGTATAGCCTTTTAAATTCAAATTAGCAATAATTGTAAGTGTTTATTGTTCTCATATGTTTTGAGTTAATGATACGCGACGAAAACTTTTTTTTACAAAAGAGATCAATTATAATTTGTGCTTGTGCTGCTGTACGCATAACTAGAAAGTCTTTTGTTTATGGCTTACTAACTTGTTTGAAGCGATTATAGCTTCTCTGACAAATGAATTCAATCGTATACGGCATTATGCTTGATTTAAATCTAAAAGGTTATATACCTTTTTTATACACACTGTATAATAGAAAGCGTTTCAGAAGGATGCTTCGCATTAAAATATTGACAGCATATATTAAATATTAAAGCATCATCTAAAATTGTAAAGTCCCGTTCATGCTAGTGGAATAAGCACAAGCAGAAATGCAAAAGAAAACTTTGAATTGAATATTTTTTTCAATTCACTGCGTTGTCTGCTCCCATGTCGTAATGAATCTAAAAGTCTCTATTATGAGCAGGTTCCTTGCATTTTTCTTCTTATCGTGAAGTACCGTAAGTGCAATGGGAGCGATTCATGCACCGCATGAATAATTTTGTTTTGACGTCAAACTGTTGTTGTAATAAAAAGTCAAACAGACAACTTGTGGCTTACTTGTATGATTATCTATTGTTTGACTTAAATTAAACTTGACAAAACTTTGAAGTGTTAACTTCAGGCCGCTTTTGCAATCAGGATTTCCGATCCATGTGGCCTTCCGCTGTGTATAAAGCTTGACACTAATATCATTGTAAACTCATTTCAACCAACTATTCATTCGGTTTGAAGCAAGTTCTGAAAGGTAAGGATTACATGTTCTTGCTCAATTTCTGGTATAGACTGTGTTATAAACAAATTATTTGAACTTTTAAACGGTTGTTGTTTATAGAATTAATATGGTCATGGTGTGTCAGTTGAATACGCCTTGAAGTTTGGTGTGTTTCACGCCTCTTTAGTCCTTCAGTTTTTGTGAGATGTTATTTGTTAGGTGATTTGGCTTTTTTTCTGCTTTTTGTATCAATAGGAAGCAGCAATTACCTGGGTTGATAAAAGAAGCAAACCAGTACATGTAAGTACTAAAACTGATAGATGTGAACGTGACACGTAGTTTGATAGTTATATAATTATGTTATCTTCATGCAACCATTCACCTGATCTTTCGTCCTATAAACAGTCTCATTCAAAGGCACTTATGTTCTTTTCTAAATATTCCTCTTATTTTTGAACACAAATCCAAACAGTCAAAGCAATTGGGAGCGCCTGTAAAACGTCATCCAATTAATGCTGATGGTAATTGTTTATTTCGATCTTTATCTTTATCGATCTTTATATTTAATGTTTTAGTTATGCCTACACGCCTACGCATTGATAAGGGTACTGAAACGGCGGATATGGCCACCATGCACTCCTACCTTCTATCAAAGCATGAAAGTGATGAAGATTCAGCAGATTGTGTCATTTATGGCCCATCTACCGAAAACAAGATAGAACGATGGTGGAAAGAGTTACTAGAAAGACTGGAAACATTTTTTAAAGACCAGTTAAGGAAGTTATTAGAAGATGGTGATTATGAACGAGATATTCCAATACATAGGTACAGTAGACTGTACTACTGGGTAAGCATTTAGTTATATTTATCTGCAAAGGACTAATAAGTTATCTTTTCTTTCTTACTAGAAATATGCTGGCATATGTGTATGTTCCAGTAGTTCAAAAAGAGTTAGACATCTTTAGAAAAACAGTGTGGAATTCTCACCGTGGAAGAAAGCAGCAAAAAAAACAACTTCCTTGTGGGGTTCCTGACCATATATACTATCACCCTGAGCAGTATGGAGGTGAGCGATGTGGCTACATTGTCAGTGAAGAGCATTTGGAAGAAGTTGCGAAGTTATCTGGTGTTTTGGAAGACACAGATGATTTTCTGAATGTACAATTCCGAGCAAGTTGTGAAGAGCACATCCCAAATACTGATGAAATAAAGCCTGACCAAGCTGCAAATGCATACTTGTTCCTGAAGTCACCTTTACATAAACATACAACTGAAAAGGATGTGACAAATAGTGCGGTTCCAGAAAATATCCATATACTCTTCTCCCAATCATGTAATGTATAATAATTAGTAGAGACTGATGGATGGGTGGATCATTTTGGAGATCTAGGAGGGTGTTATGGATATTTTCTGGAACTACACATTGGGGGGGAGGGTGTAGTCCAGGTGTGAACATGAGAAAATTTAAATGTTACAAAGCCCATTATAGAGGCCATTAGAACCAATGGTTGAGGCCAATCTAGCAAATAAATTGAACTCTGTTCATCAGATCAAAACTACATTTTGGAGTTTCTTCAACTGTCTAAAATACTTATAAAATACTTTAAAAATCACAAATCCCCAAACCTGATCAAATTACTGACCTAGACCTGGCTTCTACATTTCAAAACTACCTTTTCCATGTTGCATAATGTATGTATGGAAAAAATATGGCAATAATGTCGCATAAAGTTTGTACATAGGTTCATACTTAACAAATGTAATCATGTATCATAATTAACAAGTGTAAATTACTAAACTTGAATGATTAAACATTATGATCTACAACAGTAAATATATTATATTTCTCAAAACTAGTGTCAATGTAAAAGTTATCTTTTAACAAGGTTCAAAAACAACAATTTGAAAAAGAACTTAACAACTAACAATACAGTTGGTCTCTAAATCCATTCATCCTGGAATGTTTAGTTGCTACAGTACACATATGCCCAGAAGTGTACAATACTTGTTGCACTTGTGGTCTAATAAAAACCTCTCTATTGCTATGGTAGATAGGTTACCATAGCAAAACAAAACTGCTTTGGTAGTATCATCAAGAAGTTTAGCACTAGCTATTTCAGGGTCATATAAGAAGTATTTAGTTCCCTGGATATCTAAAACCATGATTGTGTTTTTGACTTTGCATATGTAAAATGTGCAAATGCTTCAGCCTTTGCAGAAATTTCACTGCCTTTTACAATAATTTCACCATCATTTTTATATACTTAACAAACTCTCCTTCCATATAAGGCTCAACAGTAACAAGTTGACCATCACAACTTCTTCCCAAATACACTTTGGTATACTTGAAAGTCTCTCCAAATTCTTTGCAAGTGGAAACCTCCTTCTCCATTGCTGATGCATAATACTTTGCTAAAGTGTGCATTTGTACAGACTTCCTTGTGTGATTATCAACTGATCCAAATACTTCTTCTATAGCCTTCACCTCGTCAGGTTTATAACGATTAACCACGTACTTCCCTTTAAGACCAGAAATTCCTTGGGCTTCAAAAGCATTTCTGAATGCTCCACTAGCAAAAGATGTTTTGCTTACTGATAACTTGACAGGAAATGGAAGAAGCCACTCCTTTTTATCAATGGAAAATTCCTCGAGGTATAACTCAACAATTTATTCATCACATTTTGGAGGGATCATTTTGTCAAGTTGGAGAATTTTACTCAGTGGAACTGACTTTGGAAATGATGAAGGCGTCGCTTTCTTTTTCGGAGAATCTATGTTTAGAGATCTTCGCGTTTCTGTAAAATTCCTTACGCGGGGTTTGTCAGCCTTTTAAGTCCTCGGTTTTTTCGCTGCTGTCCCACTCGTTAAACGATCTGAGGAACTGAGGAGAACTGGATCTTCCTCGTCAACGCCTTCATCATCATTGTCGGCAGCTTGATCATTAAAGTGAAATCTTACGTGCAGTAATTTAGTGTTCTTTATTTGATCGATGCTGGTGTATGACGGACCTCTTTCACCAGCTAGCACGTCACACTCCATAACCGAAGCTATGCCAAAATGATTCTTGCAGGCTTTCTTTATATTATCAAGAGTTAGTGCATCATATGGAAAAGGCACGATTGTCAAGGGTCAAATGCGGCCGTATTTTTAACATTTTCCTTCTACATCAGCGGTTAATCTCTGCACAGTCAAATAATCTACAACGTCAGGGAAATTTTCATCCTTCTTTCGCCTTTTCTCTGCATGTTTTTTCTTAAAATTGTCCCATTTACATTTGTTTTTGTTCGACATTACTGAAGCGAATAAAACAGCATTCAAGCAATGCAACATGTGCTTCGAATAATATCGACACCCACAAAGCATCATGGGCTATGGCACTCATAGACTGCTTCGAATTTTTTTTTAAATTTATTTTTATACTGGCACGAATAGGCTAGAGAAAAAAAAAATTTTTTTATTTTTTTGGTTATTTTTTTTCAAAAAAAATAAAAAAAGTGAAAGAAAAACAAAAATATAACTTATTTTAAACAACATGTAATCGAAAATATTTATGGCCCTCCTAGGCCACCATAGACAGCTTATGCAAGGTGAGGAGGATTTTTACGCAAAGCTTTATTGTGTTTAGAGATATGCATATAAAAATAGCTGCAAAAATAGAAATATCAAAAGCATGACAGGGATTAGTGAATGATTTTTGCCACAAGACGCCCGAGTAAATATATTTTTCGGCCATTAGCAAATATTTTAGATAAAGATTTTCAAATTTTTTGACCTTAATGAAATGAACTGCTGGTCTAATATTCTGTTGTATGCTTTGTCAATCCCTTCTTATCATTCTTGCTCAATTTGAAATCTAGCAAATCAATATTAAAGAATTTAACTTTCAATGTCTGACATCTCATATAAGGGAAAAATTGCTATTTTAGACAATGGTTTTCAAATTTTTTGAACTAAATGAAAAAAACTACTGGTCTAATATTCTGTTGTGTCCTTTGCAAATCCGTTCTGAACATTGTTACTGAATTTCAAGTTCTGCAAATCAATATTAAAGAATTTATCTTTCAAAATCTGATATCTCATATAAGGTAAAAATTGCTATTTTAGACCATGGTTTTTAAATTTTTTGAACTGAATAAAATGAACTGCTAGTCTAATATTCTGTTGTATCCTTTGCCAATCTCTTTTGCATATTCTTACTGAATTTCAAGTTCCGCAAATAAATATTAAAGAATTTAGCTTTCAAAATCTGACATCTAATATAAAACAAAAATTGTTTTTGGACAACTGGTTTCAAATTTTATGACCTGAATGAAATTAACTGCTGGTTTAATATTCTGTTGTATCCTTTGCCAATCCCTTTTCAACATTCTTGCTCAATTTGAAATCTAGCAAATCAATATTAAAGAATTTAACTTTCAATGTCTGAAATCTCATATAAGGGAAAAATTGCTATTTTAGACAATGGTTTTCAAATTTTTTGACCTGATTGAAATGAACTGCTGGTCTACTATTCTGTTGTATCCTTTGCCACCCCTTCTGAACATTCTTACTGAATTTCAAGTTCAGGAAATCAATATTAAAGAATTTAGCTTTTAAAATCTGATATCTCATATAAGTGAAAAATTGCAATTTTCAACAATTGTTTTGAAATTTTTTGACCTTATTAAAATGAACTGCTGGTTTAATATTCTGTTGTATCCTTTGCCAATCCCTTTTTCAACATTTTTGCTCAATTTGAAATCTAGCAAATCAATATTAAACAAAGGTTTTCAAATTTTTTGAACTGAATAAAATGAACTACTGGTCTAATATTCTGTTGTGTCCCTTGCCAATGTTTTCTGAACTTTCTTACTGAATTTTAAGATCAGCAAATCAATATTTAAGAATTTATCTTTCAAAATCTGACATCTCATATAAGGGAAAAATTGCTTTTTTGGACAACTGGTTTCAAATTTTTTGACCTTAATGAAATGAACTGCTGGTCTAATATTATGTTATTTTTTTGCCAATACCTTCTGAACATTCTTACTAAATTTCAGGTTCAGCAAATCAATATTAAAGAATTTATTTTTCAAAAAACTGACATCTCATATAAGGGAAAAAATGCTACTCTGGACAATTGTTTTGAATTTTTTTGACCTGAATGAAATGAACTGCTGGTCTAATATTCTGTTGTGTCCTTTGCCAATCCCTTTTGAACATTCTTACTGAATTTCAAGTTCAGCAAATCAATATTAAAGAATTTATCTTTCAAAATCTGACATCTCATACAAGGGAAAAATTGCTATTTTAGACCATGGTTTTCAAATTTTTTGAACTGAATAAAATGAACAGCTGGTCTAATATTCTGTTGTATCCTTTGCCAATCTCTGCTGCACATTCTTACTGAATTTCAAGTTCAGCAAATCAATATTAAAGAATTTAGCTTTCAAAATCTGACATGTCATATAAAAGAAAAATTGCTTTTTTGGACAACTGGTTTCAAATTTTTTGACCTGAATGAAATGAACTGCTGGTCTAATATTCTGTTCTATCCTTTGCCAATCCCGTCGGAACATTGTTACTGAATTTCAAGTTCAGAATAAAATATTAAAGAATTTACCTTTCAAAATCTGACGTTTTATATAAGGGAAAAATTGCTATTTTAGATAAAGGTTTTCAAATTTTTTGAACTGAATGAAATGAACTGCTGGTCTAATATTCTGTTGTATGCTTTGTCAATCCCTTCTCAACATTTTTGCTCAATTTGAAATTTAGCAAATCAATATTAAAGAATTTAACTTTCAATGTCTGACATCTCATATAAGGGAAAAATTGCTATTTTAGACAATGGTTTTCAAATTTTTTGAACTAAATGAAATAAACTACTGGTCTAATATTCTGTTGTGTCCTTTGCCAATCCGTTCTGAACATTGTTACTGAATTTCAAGTTCAGCAAATCAATATTAAAGAATTTAGCTTTTAAAATCTGATATCTCATTTAAGGGAAAAATTGCTATTTTAGACCATGGTTTCAAATTTCATGACCTGAATGAAATTAACTGCTGGTTTAATATTCTGTTGTATCCTTTGCCAATCCCTTCTGAACATTGTTACTGAATTTCAAGTTCAGCAAATCAATATTAAAGAATTTAGCTTTCAAAATCTGATATCTCATATAAGGGAAAAATTGCAATTTTGAACAGTTGTTTTGAAATTTTTTGACCTTATTGAAATAAACTGCTGGTCTAATATTCTGTTGTATCCTTTACGAATCCCTTCTGAACATTCGTACTGAATTTCAAATTCAGCAAATCAATATTAAAGTGTCTATGTCATGATTGGGGAAATAGACTTTTTAGAT